CCGGGGAACGCCCTGACAGGCAGTAGCGGGAAGAGTAAGAATGAGAACACGACGCCAGTGGGGATGGGGGCGGGGCGCGGCGAGGAGCCGCTCAATCTGGTCAAGAGAGACCACGACCCTCCCAGGCTGGGGACTGCTGGGCTCCTGGTGCCGCCCGTCGTCAAGTGATGTCATGGATACGTGCGGGATACCTTGATATGTGACACCATGGATACGTGCGGGATACCTCAATATGTGACATCTTGGATACGTGCAGGATACCTCAATATTTCCCCATATGGACAGATATGTGGGGGATACCTTAATATGTGACATCATGGATACGTGGGGGATACCTCAATATGGGACATCATGGATACGTGTGGGATACCTCAATATGTGACATCATGGATACGTGCGGGATACCTCAATATGTGACATGGATATGTGCAGGATACCTCAATATTTCCCCTCATGGACAGATACGTGCGGGATACCTCAATATGTGGCATCATATATACATGCGGGATACCTCGATATTTCCCCTCATGTGACGTCAATTTGTAAGGTTATGCCAGACTTACCAGAATTTGTAGCCTTACCCTGGGCTCTCAAGTCGGATCATTAACTGAGCTCAAAGTTTGTCACAATTTGTAACGTTACATTGAGCTCACAGTTTGTTACAATTTGTAACGTTACTTACACTGAGCTCACAGTTTGTCACAATTTGTAACGTTACACTGAGATCAAAGTTTGTCACAATTTGTAACGTTACATTGAGCTCACAGTTTGTTACAATTTGTAACGTTACACTGAGCTCACAGTTTGTCACAATTTGTAACATTACACTGAGCTCACAGTTTGTCACAATTTGTAACGTTACATTGAGCTCACAGTTTGTCACAATTTGTAACGTTACACTAAGCTCACAGTTTGTCACAATTTGTAACGTTACACTGAGCTCACAGTTTGTCACAATTTGTGAGACATCGTGGTGAAATCAGGCTCTCGTCAAAATAATGACTTAAAAAAGACAGGCATTTTTTTTTCTCCAGCACGGCAATTTTTATTGAATTTTTGTGTTTTCGCTCAACACCTTTTATGTCCCCATATATAAGTACTTTCCCATGTGAATCTTTCTGAAAGAGTTGATTACTGGCACAAAAATGTGCACATTCAGTTTTTAAGGATTATATCACGCTATAGAAGTTACCAAACTTTCATGGCCATTTTCTCGATAATTTTACTTCTGAAATCATGCTGCCCCGACCTCCATCACTCGCAAATATTATAACTTTTTTTCTATATAGATTGGTATTTTTTCCTTTGAATGCAAGGCAAATGAACAAGCTTTAAGATGATACCAAAAACTCCACATTTGTGGTCCAAAACTTGACGAGCACCTGATTCCACCACGTCCTGACACGTTTGTGCGGTTACTTGTCCTGAGCTGACAGTTTGTAAAGTTATTTCTGTCTTACACTTTATAACGTTAAAGGAAAGTAAGGGGGCTCTTGTGGCCTAGAGGTTAAGGTGTTGGCCTCTCATTCAAAGGTCCCGGGTTCGATTCTGGGTAGCGACCAAAAAAATTTCTTCTCTAAAATTGTCTCCTTTCACCTCCTTTCCTGCTCTCTAGCAATGTTCTGTTGTCTGCTTTCAATTCCACTTTCTGCCCCCTCCCCCTCACCTCCTTTGCCCCCTCCTCTGGGCTCCTGACTCTTTCTGCAGCCTTTCTACTGCTACTCCTTGGCTCCTCCTAACTGCTGTCTTTCTGCCACACCCCTGATCTTCTGGTAGGAAAGATCTACACACCTAGCCTTCTCGGACAAGGGCGAAAAATCTCGGAGGGCCCGTGTGCAAGTTGCGCACGTTAAAGATCCCTTGGTGGTCTAAAATCGATAAGAGTAGGCTTCGGCCGCCACCCGGGCAAAATTCAAAATTTCCTACCAACGAAAAGTATTAGGTGTGTCCCGCGCGCTCATATGACCTTATGCAGTTGCGAGCGCCGTAAAACACTATACTAAACAAACAAACAAACAAAAGGAAGCTAAGAAAACTGGCCGTGGCTGTATATATATATATATGTGTGGCTGTATATATATATGCGTGGCTGTATATATATATGCGTGTACGTGTGTGTGTTCCCAGCATTCCCTTGTACTTCCCTTCTTTTACCTTAGTGTTTGAGTTTGAGTGGGGGTCCCACACTGGTTCGACCACTTGTCGGATCGGCAGAATCGTGTCTGATCACAAAGTGAAAGGAGTCGATGCCCACGAGCCCGCGTCTGTGTGTGGGGGTAGCATGCTAGGCACATCGCTGTACTGTCAGACGTTGCTCTCCTTGTCGTTCATTTTACTCTAAATATAGAGTCCGTCAGACGGTGCGGTCAGATGGTGAACCAGATGTAGGTCAGGAGCGCCCGGTCTCGTCTTGGATGTTATCTCAGATGTAATCTCGGATGTTATCTCGGATGTTATTCTGACAAGTCTAGATGTACAAAACTAACGTGTTTTCCTTGGCTGTACATACATGATACATATTTGTACATTTCACAACACTCATTGGGTCATTTTGTGGCAGTTGTGAATTGATTTTTGGTACATTTTGTTATACTTTTGTTTTGAATGTCAGTTTTTGTACATTTTGTAGTTTTGTTTTGTTTGTTTATGTATGTATGTACATTTTGTAGTTTTGTTTTGTTTGTTTATGTATGTATGTACATTTTGTATTTCCATTTTGTTAGTTTTTTTCGTTTTTGTACATTTTTTATTGAAGCGATTTCTCTGTACATTCCTTGAGTTCATTGACTTTGTTCACAACAAGTCCAGTTCCAAC